GTCTAACAGTATTTGAAAAAATACAGCCATGTTCAGGAAGTAACTATCCCCTCACCTGGGATTTAAAGCAGACTCCCAAGTTGACATTAATAACAAATCAAAGTTTCAAAAAATAGTTGCAGGTTTGTACACAACGAACAATGGCATTTACTTATTCATTCAACAAGTATGCATTTGGTCCAGTTGTTGTGTTAAGGACTCTGTAAATTATCTCCTAAATCTGTACAAGAATTACTTTCATTTCCATTTTACTAATGAGGAACTGAATTTAATTAATTTTTTTTGAGATAGGGGTCTCACTCTGTTGCCCAGGATAAAGTGCAGTGATATGATTTTGGCTCACCCCAACCTCTGCCTCCCAGGCTCAAGTGATCTTCCCACCTCAGCCTCTTGAGTAGCTGGGACTACAGGCACACGCCACCATGCCCAGCTAATTTTTCTACGTTTTTGTAGAGATGGGGTTTCACTATTTTGGCCAGGATAGTCTCAAATCCCAGGCTCAAGTGATCCACCTACCATGGCCTCCCAAAGTCTTAAGATTATGGGCGTGAGCCACTGCACCTGGCCTGGAATTTACTTTAAAGAAATGAATTACTTGCCCACAGTTTAACAGTGGTAGGGTGGAAATGTAAACTCAAATCCTTGAATTTAGAGCCTATGCTTTTAAAGATTGAACTCTATTAGAAAATTCTACATATGTTATACGTAAAAATGACATACACAAGAATATCTACTAAAACGTGGATTAACATTTTAAGTATGAAATACCAAGAAACAAACAAAATGTAAGATAGCTAGTTTCCATAAGAAATTTTATGTGCAAATTAGCTTTGCTTAAATTTTTTTTAATTAAAAATTTTGCAATTCTATAGAACTAGAAAAGCTCATGACAGAATATAGTATAAGTTTGTTAAATTAATAATTGAACAAGAAATCCAGTTCCAAAAGAAAATATTGCCTTTTCAAATACCATAAGCTATAGCAATAACATTCACATTTTAAAAAAATGACATGCACATTATTTATATAACATTTTACCTTGCAAAGTATTAAATCTTGAAACACTAAATTTAGAAACATAGTTAAGCCCAAACTCCTTATTTTACATGCAAAAACTAATAAAAATGATAATGTATTTTGTACTGCTTTTATTTAATGACACTGACAGTCTCCATTGCTATCACAACATTTAAAATTATCCCAGTATTAGCATTCTTATGTCTAACCTTTGAAAGAGTGTATTAAAATACATCTGTACAATTAAAAGGTCAAAATGTTATGATACCAACACCTGTATTACAGTAGCATACTTTACTGCCTATTGTGTAGGCAGTATGAGAGCTAAGTCTTCCAAATCCATTTTTACAGCATTATAAATGCAGGGTTCAAGATATTAGTGTCTCTCAATTGCAAAGATGAGTAATCAATACACAAAAAAGATAAACTGGCAGCTAGATGTTTCTGATAAGTTTAAAAACAAACCTTTGTGAACTCTGTGAATGGATAAACAATCTGTGGTAGAGTCCTACAATGGAATAAACTCAGCAATAAAAGAGAACAAACTATGGATATATATCCCCAAATGAATGTATCTTAAAACCATGCTGAGCAAAAGAAACTACATACAAAAGTTTACTGTATGGTTCCATTTATATATACTTTTAGAAAAGATTAATCTCCAGTGACAGAAGGCAGATTAGTAATTGAGGCAGGGCAGGGTAGGGAACTGTGCAAGAAGGGGACCAAGGTAATTTTAGTGGGTGATGGAAATGTTCCATAGCTTGATTGTTACGTGGCAGGATATGTTTGGGTAGATTTTATTGTTATCTTAATAAAAGTTGGTTTTAAATATTTTTAAATGGTACATAAAAGAAAAATAAATTAACTGGTCAATAAGTCAAAGTTTAAAAATATTTAGTCATACAATGCTCCATTACAGAGAAGAAATTCTACCTACTTCTCAAAAAAAAATCAGTGTTAATGAGATTTTTGCTTTGAGTCTTCTCAATGTGTGGAAATACAATTACTACTAAATCAGAATTACTTTCATTTCTGCACAATGTGGTTAAAAACCACTGACAGGCAAGAATCATGACAGATACCTGTTTTCACCCAATGCAAGATTTAGTGTAAGGCTGAAAACCAAGCTCAAAGCTCATTTTCTATAAAGCCTAACTTCATCCTCAGCAATGGAAGTAATATTTCTCCTATCAAGATCAGTGTAAGATTTGACCTACACCTTTATTATGCATTTAAAAGTTTTAAAATCTTACATAATAATTTATGTATGCCTCCTCTATCCTGTTAGACAAAGTTTCAAATGAAGTCAGAAGGGGTGTCTGACATATCTCCACTAGGCATGGAACATAGTGGTTTACATACATTTGATACTTATTATACATTTCCTCAATTAACTTAAATGACTGAAGAATTAATTAAAGGCCTATTGAACAACCAAGCATTTAGACATTTTTACAAGTTACTGAAGAAAGCATAAAGTAAAAGTTAACAAAAAGTAGTTCTGCTTTTGGTAATGGCAGATGATAATCCATGAACTAGGACCAATTTGACCATGACAACTAATAAAGTGAACAAAATATGAAACAAAATTTCTCTAATGATGTTAGAGAGCCAACGAGCTCATGAAAAATCATTGGACCAAAATATGAGAGAAGAAAATCCAGAGTTCAGAATGAGAGCCCACTGTTATCTGAATATAGCCTGACAATTTTCTAAGAGATGGTTAAGAGGATTGAGATGAACATTCAATAAAATATAGGGGAAAAAAATAAAGGACTTGAGAGTCTGCCAAGGATGTCGAATATAGTAAATACCAAGACTTTTGGGGATTTGAGGTCTGGAAAAGCTATACCCTAAGTGTAAAGGTAACTGGAAACTAATCAGATCTCAGGGATGAAAACCCAGCCACAAATAACCTAAATCATTCATTGATTTTAGGTGATCTGGAATTGCTAGTGTACCCAGCCACTAGCCAGAAGAAAACTTTCTGCAGGGGGATAATATCGTAGGTCTAAAATCTTTACACTTTTTCACAGAAAATGACTGGTATTCTCTCTTAAATAACCAGACATATGAGGAGGCTAAATAAAATGATTATTTTTTAAAAAAAGAAAGCAACAGGCAATAAAAACATACCACAAAGGATCCAAATAATGAAGTTTTCAGACATTATTTAAAGTAACTATACTTAATATATTCAAAGAATTAAGATTGTGAGTTTACTGGAGAACTTGCAACTGAAAAAAAGGAATCCAATTACAGAACTGAAAAATGTAATAAATTGAAATGAAGAATATAATCAAATTTATCAAAGGTTTCATAAAAAACACTTTGTATCTTTTTATACCCTAAGGATTAAAATGTTTACCAACAGAATCTACCAAAAGTTTTTAAAGTGTTGATTCACATTAAAGTCTTTAATCCATTTTCAGCAGATATTTGTATATGATGTGAGGTAGAGAATCCTAATTAATCCTTAATTAAATAACCATTTTTTTTTCAAGCTTCATTTCTCAAACATTTTCTCCTTTCCTTGTGATACGTCATGCCACCACTGTCATACACTAACTTTGCATATTTTCTTAGCTCTGTTTCTGGGCTCTCAATTCTTTTTTCTTTTAAAAGTAATTATAAAAATAATTTTATAAAAGTTGGGTGAATATGTAGCTTTAAATTGACAAAAATGTGTATTTAACAGTTTTGTCTTTTATCTTTTACAGATTAAAAGAAAGATTCTGGGGCTGGGCATGGTGGCTCACACCTGTAATCCCAACACTTTGGGAGACTGGGGCAGGCGGATCATGAGGTCAGAAGATAGAGACCACCCTGACCAACATGGTGAAACCCTGTCTCTACTAAAAATACAAAAATTAGCTGGGTGTGGTGGCACGTGCCTGTAATCCCAGCTACTAGGGAGGCTGAGGCAGGAGAATTGCTTGAACCAGGGAGTCAGTGGTTGCAGTGAGCTGAGATTTTGCCACTGTACTCCAGACTGGCGACAGAGTGAGACTCCATCTCAAAAAACAAACAAACCAAACAAAGCTTTTGGGCAAAAATGAAATAAAATCTTTTTGAAATGATTTCTATTTTATAATACTTCTGAGCACTGTTGCAACTTCAGAAGATCTGTTATATTTTTTATTTCAAATCTGTTTATACACATAGAAGTCTTCACTTAATGTCTTCTAGGATTAGATAATGTCTTCACTTAATGTCTATAGGATCTTGGAAATTGCAACTTCAAGTGAAACAACACATAATAAAACAAATTTTACCACAGGCTAATCAATATAAATAAGAGTTAAGTTTCTATAGCATACTTCTGGTCACAAAAACATCACTAAATTTTAAGTAAAGACCAAAACACTTGTAACATTAAATACTGAAATAAACGTGAGCCATATACACATTTAAGAAAGATTAATAAAAACAAGATAATTATTTACTCAATTATTCCAGTTCAGGGTCACAGGTGATTGGAGCCTTTTCTGGGCTCTCAATTCTACTCCAATGAGTCAATCTTTCTATCCTTACCCCAGTACAACATTGCCTTAATTAGTATTAATACTTTTCTCTGATGAGGTCAATTTCTCCTCATTGTTATTTTTCTATAAAGTAACTGGTTCTTGTTTAGAATTGTCATATTTAATTAAAAATCTTGCTAGGATTTTGTTTGGAATTGCATTGAATCTATCAACTGGGGGAAAATGACATTTTTACAATATTACTATTAAAGAGCATGGAATACCTCTTGATTTATTTAAGTATTCTCTATGATCTCCTAATAAAATTTTATAATTTTCCCTAAAGAAATCTTGATTATCACTTCTTCAATTTGATTCTATGTGCTTCATACTTTCTGACAATAATTGCTTTAATGATGTTTTCTAGTTATTTGCTGCTGATGTATAGAAACATGACTGACTTTTGTGCATTAATTTTACATCCACTAACCCTTTTAAACTTCATTTTTTATTCAGTCTCCAAAAAGATTGTCAAAACTTGCCAATGCTGACTATACTGCAAGTCATGACAGCAGGGTATTCGGAAAAAGTTTTCAATTAGCAATAACCACTCGAGATAAACCTCATTTGGCTATACTGCCAATGCAAAAAGCTCACTCTTTTAAACTTATGAATAATCCATTTATGTATCTTTTGGGTTATTATTACAAATAACAATTTCAAATAATTACAGTTTTATTTCCTCATTTTTCAATCCTATGCCTCTACTTTTCAGGGGAATCTCACTGCACACTGGCTTCAATGCTCACTGCTCTGGCCATGATCTTCACTACAATGTTGTATAGAAGTGGTAAAAGTGTGCCCTGGTTTCTCTTTCCCAACTTTAAAATCAATGCTTCTGATATCTCTCTTACTTAGGATAATGCTTGCTGTAGACTTTTTAATAAATACATATCATTCTGTAATATAAAATGCAGTGTTTTATTCTGTAATATGAAAATTAATACTCAGTTTAGTTTTGTTTTGTTTAAGATGGAGTCTCACTCTGTTGCCCAGGTTGGAGGGCAGTGATATGATCTTGGCTCACTGCAGCCTCGGTCTCCCAGGTTCAAGAGATTCTCATGCCTTAGTCTCCCAAGTAGCTAGGATTACAGGTGTGCACCACCACGCCCGGCTAAATTTTTGTATTTTTAGTAGAGACAGGGTTTCACCATGTTGGCCAGGCTGGTCTGGAACTCCTGACCTCAAGTGATCTGCCCACCTTGACCTCCCATAGTGCTGGGATTACAGGAGTGAGTGGTAGCACCTGGCCTGATACTCAGTTTTAACATTTGCAAAAACTAACAGAGAAAGCATGAGACCAATCGGATTCTCTCAAATTCCTCTTAAACTAGTTTAAAATTTCACTTTCTACTTTGTCAAAAGAATATAAGGTAAGGCCGGGCGCGGTGGCTCAAGCCTGTAATCCCAGCACTTTGGGAGGCTGAGGCAGGTGGATCACGAGGCCAAGATCGCGCCATTGCACTCCAGCCTGGGTAACAAGAGCGAAACTCCATCTCAAAAAAAAAAAAAAAAAAGAATATAAGGTAATAACTGTTCTCCTTCCTTTTTATGTTAAATGTTCAGTCTACCTTTAGAAAGAAGTATTACTCCTTTAACCCCAAAATCAGTAGGTATATAATAAGAATTTCATTTTTAACCAGAAGATATTATCATGCTAATTTTTTTCATAAGCAGAAATTAAATTTTTAAAATCAATTATATCTACTAGCTCTAGAGGTGTTAACATTTCTAAAATTCTAATGCCATCAAATACTACAGAAATAAAAATAAATAACATGGCAAAAATACACAGCATATGGAATAACAATTTTAAGTACTATGTCTCAGCCGGGCATGGTAGCTCATGCCTGTAATCTCAGCGCTTTGGGAAACTGAGGCCGGAGGATCACTTGAGCCCAGGAGTTCAAGATCGGCCTGAGCAACATATGGAGACCCTGTCTCCACAAAATATGAATTATGTCTCACTTAAGGAAAAATATAAAATTTAGTTATAATTAATTTACATTTTTGTTACTTAAAAGTATATAAAGTATTCTATATATAATAATAAAAGCTGACATTTAAGTGTTCATGTGTCAGGCAAAATGTAAAGGTGCTAGAAGTACACCATTAATTTACTCAACCTTTCAACATATTTATTGAGTATCTATTATGTGCTACCACAGCAAAATATGTGTTAGATAAAGATACAAAAAGACAGTGCCTGACCTTACTGAGAGGCATATCTGGTTGAGAAATAGATACATAAACTAAAATTATACAATACAACATGAAAAATGTTATAATGGAAGTATGTTCAAGCAATACTGAAAGCAAGAAAGTATACAAGTTCTGCCTTGGGTAATGAAAAAAGCTTCGAAAACTCTGACTGCAATGAAGAAAGGACAATGAAGTAGATATGAATCATTTTTTTCAAGCTTTAACTTTTCAGTTGTAAGGAAAGGCTTTTTCTTGTATTAAACCAGACTTTAGAGATAAGAATCTAAGTTAGACTACTTGTCTTATTAAACTGTATTCCCTTTTAGACTACTAAGTAACGTACTTTTCCCAAACTCAACTGTACAACAGCCTTTTACTCTCCTAACAACTCAAGATTCTCTACGTGAGAAAATAGTAAAATACCTAATAAAACTTAATAGCAAGCCGGGCGTGGTGGCTCAAGCCTGTAATCCCAGCACTTTGGGAGGCTGAGGCGGGTGGATCACGAGGTCAAGAGATCGAGACCATCCTGGTCAACATGGTAAAACCCCGTCTCTACTAAAGATACAAAAAAATTAGCTGGGCATGGTGGCACGTGCCTGTAATCCCAGCTACTCAGGAGGCTGAGGCAGGAGAATTGCTTGAACCCAGGAGGTGGAGGTTGCGGTGAGCCGAGATTGCGCCATTGCACTCCAGCCTGGGTAACAAGAGCGAAACTCCGTCTCAAAAAAAAAAAAAAAAATTACTTAATAGCAAATTATTTATTGTCAAAATCAATTTTATTGTACAAAATTTAATACAGAGTTTAGGTATTCTATGGGGTTTAATTGCCACAAACTAGAAATCCTAATATTTCATTACTTAAATACATAATTAGAAAATGATATATAATTAATTTTTTTTTCAGCTTTTGCAGTTAAGAGGCCTCTACAAAGTCTAACTGCCACTCTTGTTCCAGCTAAGTACACACTGTTAAAATCTAATATTGGAGTCCTTAATTAAATTCTTCACCCAATTTAGACTTTGGTACATTACTAGACAATTTGAATAATCCTTTACTTGAAGCCTCAACTTTGACAGTATTAGACTGCTTTGTGCCCCATTTGCAAGAGACTGCTCCTTAGTTTTAAAGACCTAATGGCAAGAAAGATAATGATTGGCCTTAAAACATACTAGTTGGGGAATCTACTATGTGCAGGTAGGAAACAAGAGTTCAAGGCTGAGAAGATATTTATGTAACAGTAAAACAAATACATTGTTTAGGTGCCAAAGTGAAATGCAAACAATATTCCATCACAGACCTTGTCCACATGAGCATGAAATTCATATCTGAAGACAATTCCTGAAGAATCAAATGATATAGCAGATATCACAAAACTTTCAATGATTAATTGCTAAGTATATAGTATAAATTAGGAAGGCATTACCTTAGACGTAAGAGAACTGAGAAGGCTTTCAGGGCATCTCAGCTAAGGAAAACAACTGTGGCATTTTTGGTAGAAAAGTACAAATAAGACATCCATTTATTTTTTCAACAGTTTTTTTTTTCTCACTGTCAAGTACAGTAGGGTGATCTCAGTTCACTACAACCTCCACATTCTGGGCTCAAGCAATCCTCCCACCTCAGCCTCTGGAGCAGGCTGGGACTGGTAGTGTACACCACCATGCCCAGCCAATTTTTTAAAAAAATTTTCTTCCAGAAATATTTTAATAAAAATTGGCCATTTCCAAGAAACACCTATTGCATGCCCATCAATAAGCCCAGCCAATTTTTTGTAGAGATGGGGTTTCACCATATTGCCCAGGCTGGTCTTAAACTCCTAGACTTAAGTGATCCACCCACCTCAGCCTCCCAGAGTGCTTGGATTACAGGCATGAGCCACCGTACCTGGCCCTTTCAACACATTTTAATTAAGTTTCTTTTCATGTGCCAGATGCTGGGCTAGGTGCCAGGAATACATGGAAGATAGTCCTCATCATCCAGAATCTCACTAAATAATTTAGTGAAGGAAAAACATGTAAACAAAGTTACAGCAAATCATATTAGAAATATATACAGGTACTTTGGGAAAACAGAGGGAAGGTCAAGGAAGGCTTTAAAGAGGATGTGATTCTTAAACTCAGAGGATAAGTAAGAAAAATTCACCAGGCAGATCAGGGTATTCCATGCAAAGGAACTGCATGTATAAAAGCATAGAGGTAAGAAAGAACGTAACTCTTCTAACAGTGCAGTTAGTTCAGAATGGCAAAAACAAGTAAGTGCATGTGTGCACTCAGTGGTAGAGGAAGGAAGGGTAGGAAGTTGAGGTAGAGAATGAAAGCTAGAATAGAAAGCAAGGATTTGATTATAAAGGACTTTGAAGCCATACTTGAGAAGCTGAACTCAGCATGCAGATCAGATCAGTTTCTCAAAGTGTACTCTGTGGGTCACCTGCATCAGAATCATCTCAGATAGAGATTTTCAAATTGTAGTTTTGGAACCAGTGGTTGTAAAATTAATTTTGTGGGCTAGGTAAGCACTAACAAAGCAAGAGAGAAAGAAAAAGAAGGGAAAGGAAAGGAACAGAATAGAATAGAGTACACTGAATGTAGTAGGGTGATATGGTTTGGCTCTGTGTCCCCACCCAAATCTCATCTTGAATTATAATCAAGATGATTCTCATAATTCTCATGTGTTGTGGGAGGGACCTGGTGGGAAATAATTTGAATCATGGGAGTGGTTCTCCCATACTGCTCTTGCGGCAGTGAATAAGTGAATACTCAGCCTCCTGAGTATCTGGAACTACAGGTACGTGCTGCGGTTCTAGAGCAAATGAGAAGGATGCAAAAGAGGAAACCCCTGATAAAACCATCCTTCTTATTTTCTATTGCCACTGCCATGTAAGAAGTGCCTTTGGTCTCCTGCCATTGATTCTGAGGCCTCCCGAACAATGTGGAACTGTAAGTCTAATTAAACCTCTTTTACTTCCCAGTCTCGGGTATGTCTTAATAAGCAGAGTGAAAACAGACTAATACATAGGGTATTGTTGTAAGGGTGTGATGTATGCGCATGTGGATGTATTGAGCTGAAAAATAAAATCTATTTCTTACTGTGGGTCATGGTCAAAGAATTAAGAAATACTGATCTAGATGTTTGTTAAAATGCAGATTCCCAGCACACCTGTCTTTCAAGTCACCTGCTTGGCCCTCTTCCAAGTGTACTTTTCTTCCTTTCCTTCCTGCTCTAAAGCTTTTTAATAAACTTTCACTCCTGCTCTAAAACTTGCCTCAGTCTCTCCTTTGTCTTCTGAGGAGGCAAGAACTGGGACTGCTGCAGACCTGAACAGATAACATACTTTGGTGCCAGGTGACTCGGATAAGTTATTATTTTAAAAATATTTTTTTTAAATGCA